AATTTATTACCTGTATACGGTACGGTAGTACGGTAGTTGTCAACACAAACCAGACAAACTGTGAATCCTACAGTATCAAGAATTAACTCATTTATTCAATGACAATCATGTCATCATCTTCTGGAACATCATCATAACAGGCAGGCCCCAGGGGGGAAATGTCTGATAAAGGGGTGGGGGGGGGGGATGTCTGGTGAAGGTGTTCAGTGGCACAGGGGTGGGGATCACTTAAAATGACACGGGGGGATCAGGGGAGGGAATCAAAATGGCACAGGAGAATCAGAGGAGGGATTACCATTTTAGTAACCCCTTTTGATCCTCCTGTGTCATTTTGATTGTCCCCTCTGATCCTCCTGTGTCATTTTAAGTGATCCCCCTCCCCCCACCCCTGTGCCACTGAACACCTTCACCAGACATCCCCCCACCCCTTTATCAGACATTTCCCCCCTGGGGCCTGCCTGGGGACTGTCACTGGGTTGGCTGGGGCCTGGACCTGGGCTGGAGCAGGGTCTGCCATTGACTGAGAACCTTCAGTCATCATGAGGGTGGCCGCGAGCATCAGGCAGTGTCACCAGAGACAGACCAGCACTCACCACCTTTGCCACGTCCCGTCCGCTCTGATCCTCCTTTTCTTTTACACGCATCTGCGAAAGTCTCCTCTTCTCTCCCGCCCCGCGTTTACCGCTCACTCCGACCTCCGCTCCTCCTCAACACAGCAGTGACGTCAGGACTCCGCGTAACGTCACTGGTTGCTAGACGCCAGTTGGGGCGGCCCTAGCAACCAGTTTACGGTAAATTAATTTTCATTCCGAGACAGAGCCTAGGGGGGCCTTATTTTCGGGGGATGCCTTATATTTCACCCAGAAGGAAACCTGTAAGTAGGTCTTATTTTCGGAGCATGTTTTATTTTCGGGGAAACACGGTACATAGCTACATTTGCTTTTGTCTGAGAATTTTTGTACAAGTTAGTATCATTCTCAGTTACATCATGGTACTCATGGTACTTCGGGAAAAATCGGACGATCGTTTGTCCGATTTTCTCAGTTTGTACAAGGTTTAACTGTGTAACGTTCTACCTTTATATGCACACCTGTTGGTGTAATTTGTCTGAGCAGTCTTTCTTGATCTATAACACATAAACTGAACAATGAACATTGCAATCCCTGGATCTCTCTTATGTTTCTAAATATCTCCCTTTCCTTCCCTTTTATATAATGGAAATGTTCTTTTTTTTTCTCTACACTTGTACCCCTTGTAGTTTTTTTAAATGTTCTATTTCTATTACAACTATGTACTAAAATACTTATTTTTGGTAGCACCTGGCTTCAATTTTTATTTTTTTGTAATCTTTTTTTTTTTTCAATCAAGACTGTTCTTGTCTAGAGGTTTGACTCTTCTATTGCAGATTACCAGCTTGATTGTCCTCAGGCTGGCTTTTAGAGCACCGTGTCTAGCCCCTGCTGTACTGCACATTGTAAGGTTAGAAGGGAAGTCACTTTTGACCACTAGGTTCCATATGGAGTGCTTTCCAGACTCCATACTGGTAAAATTTAGCTGCTAAGATCTGTCCAGTTCCAAAATTGTGTGCACTTCCAGCACTTAGCTTGATTCAGTTAGCCAGGGGAGTGGGAGAATACCTCACCTACGTGGGCCACTGGATGCCTTTATTTTTGTGTTCCCAACAGTTTTACAGCTGAAGGGGCAAACACTGTGGGACTGAGCCCTGAGGTAATCTGCTGGGCTGAGTGTTGCACACACCTTCCGTGCTCTCCTTCCCACCATACAATGATGAGAATGCATCTCCCTGCTGCTGCTGCTTGCAAAAGCCGCATGAAGCTTCAATCTTTGATTGCCACGTGGTCTTCTGTTAATACATTCTTTAACACTCTAAGTACTACCAGATGAACGTTGTGGCCTCATCTGATACCAGATTTAGGCATAAAACAAGGTCACTCAGGCAGCTCTTTGACCTACAGTCAGCTTGGTTTTCTGTTGTTTTCTTGCGCCAGTTAAAGTTTGTTTGCTGTGTTGCTCACCCTCCAGCTTGCCTACTTTTGGATGTTCTACAAGTTAAAGGGTTTTGAGTACCTCAATGGACAAGAAAGCAAATATGATTTTTGTACTCACAGTAAAATCTTTTTCTTGGAGCCAATTGAGGGACACCAGTCTCACTCCTCTTGGTTTATGATCATGCTTTTGGTACTGCTTTGCTATAAAACTGAGGCATGATGGTGATGGTCCTGGGTTGGCATACATTTTTTTTAATCGCTTACCAGTTTCCAATTCTCCTGTAGGCAGAACGCAAGACTTACTATTCTTATGCTACTTTGTACAATCATGTAGTTCATTGCCTAATAGGAATTCCTTTTTTTTACCTCTGCATTAGTGTGCCCTACAACTGCCCTATGTACACCACTTCTTCCTCTGCACTCAAGGTTTTGGCCCAGTGTGTAGTTAGGTTTACAGCTCACATGCACAAAACTCCAGCTCCCAATATATTGATTGACCTGCTGTCTTTTTCTATGGGAAAATACCAATACCAGCCTCAGCCTACAACTAAACCTCATGTGGCCTCCTGCTTTCCTGTAGAATGTATCATATGGTAGTTGTAATTTCTTGTCAACATTGTTTTTCCTCAGGCACATGCAAAGAAGTAATGAGGTTCCCTAACTCTGCACTTCAGATTGGACCTGTATCTAGTCAGGTCAGGTTTTTCAAGCAAAGACACTTATTATTATTACATCAAGTTTATATAGCGCCAAAGGGTTTGCTCAGCGCTGTACAATATAGGGGGACAATACATGGCACCGTACAACACATAACAAACAACGTACGAGGGGTAAGAGGGCCCTACTCTTTCGAGCTTACAATCTATGGAGGGTCTGTTTTAAGAAAACCTTTAATGAAAAATACATATTGGTTGCTGTTGCTGATCTCTTTTTAAAATACACATGCAGCAAGCAAAGTCTGAGAGAGGTCATAAATGCTGATTGGAACATTTGTTCTGGTTGTGAACTACTGAAACCATTGGAAGACCTGCCAGACATTTAGTTTTTTTATAAGAGATTAATGGAATGTAAGCCTATGTGGTTCTCTAATTACAGGTTCCCTTAAAAAATAAATTATTGTGGTTGCCTTTAAAGAATTTTTGGTATGGATCTTTAACATACTTAGATTGATCCAGCTTGGACCAATCCAGCTGCACATATACCATACCCTGGGATCCCTCTAGAATCTGGAAAACATTGTAGTAGGCAGCTCTACTACAGTGATCTCCACTAGCTTCCGAGTCCCGTGCCAGGTGGCTGCCCTCTTGCTTAGCGAACACAGGAAGTCAGACACTTGGCACGGGCAAAGCATACTCTTATTGAATTTGGTGGAAAGCATGCTGTCAATGCCCCGCATCTCCACCTTGTCCAATCAGAAAACACTTTGCATTCATTGAGAAAATGCAAAGTGATCTCTAAATGGTACCTGTGCTGAATGTCTGACCTCTGTTCAAAATGCAGAAGAATAGTGGTTCGATACTGGATCCACAAGCAAGTGGTGATCGCTGTAGCGGTTATGTTAAAGTAACACCTATGGGTGAAATCCTTATCTTTCCTTCCTCCAAACTTTTCAGCTGACAGCCTACATTGTCAGTTAGATGTGACTGTAGCCACGCAAAGTCAGTAAGCGTGTTGCTGGCCAGATCACCAAGTGAAAAGGCCTAAGAAAAGAAAACTACTGCAGTTACCACATTTAAGAATTTATAGCCTGCAATAAATATCATTTTTGATTTTAAGTTTAATACTGCTTTAATATCTACTAAGCCATTTATTTGTTTATACCCGTAGACCCCTGGATGATACCTTCATGAGCATAATGAACACATTTACTGTCTTACAGAAAATGTACTAAGCTGAATGTATATTTCTATATGTTATTACCATGTTTTGCTGTACTGTCAAATGGAAAAGTTAAAAATAAAAAATTAAAGTACACGTTTATTTTCATTAAAAGGTTTTCTTTATTAAACATAGGTAACTTTTTCCAGGTGTAAAATAGCTGACCTTTCATTGTTATGAGGACCATTTACATCAGTTCCCAACCAGGACATTTTACAGCTGAGATCTTCATTCATGTCCCCAAAACAATGGTCAGATAATATGAAAAAGTTCTGATGTCATCTAGTTTTTGAACTACATTCCTCCCCCACTTTCTGCACCAGGCAGGTTGCAGATGCTGAGGATGGTAAGAGGAATATCTAAGGCTTGGATTGAATTCTGATACATCCCATACCCAGCAGCTAATAATCTATAGCACAAAGTATAATACTAGCTATCATTATACTTGCCCAGCTCCCACAGTAGTCAATTTGAGAATCCCAACCTGTTAATTTTCAAAACTCAACCAGATTGCACATGCTCCACTTTACAATCAATTTTTCATATCTGTTCACAGTGAGTATTTAGGTAAGCATTTCTTCTTGTAGAATGCATTTAATTGTGGGTGCTTTTTTAACTAACACACTTTTGAAGAGGCTTTTAATATATGCGTATTACCTTTAAACTTGTTTTTTTTAAAAAAGGTGTTCATATGAACATTTGTTGCATGAATCCTACAAAAAAGTGTAGGTTGAAGTAAAAATAGATTTGAGTTCTGACAAATGAATGTAAAAAAAAGGGAGTGCTGACTGTTATTTTAATCAAACTTGTAATACACATTTGAAGCTTCCCAAAGCCAGTTCACAAACTGCAACTGAAAAGTGCTATGAGAGAGCTGCTTGAAGCTAGATTATTGCTTTTGAGTATTTAATGAATAAGGGCCATACAATTGGTAAGCTCCACTATGAAGATAACAAGTTGGGTCTTTCAGTAGGTTCTGCAGTTTTAGCATTTGCAATGTTGATACTCTATACTAAGAATCATTAAGTTAATTACTAGTGTCTGACTGTATGTGTCCTTTCTATGGAACACAACTTGTGGCAAAGAAAGAATCAGTGTGTGTGTGCCCAGCTCCTACAATTCTTCCTTGGTATCCTCCACCTTGACCTTCCCATCTTCAACCTCCGGAGTTTCTTCCTTAATGGTTTTTGCAGGTGCCATCTGGAATTCTGGGGGCACAGGGGCATCAGGACTTTCTTTCTTATAAAACCCTAGATCCTTCAAGAGCTGGTTGATTTCATGTCTCTTCATTTCAGATAGTGGGATTCTCTGAAAAGCATAAATAAGTACAGTATAAGAATTTTTTTATGCTCTGAAAGGTCAAGTGTATTTCCATTATTTATAAAACTGCTTCTAATTATAACTTTCAGAGTCGTTGGGGCAGAACATAGCTTGTCACAAGTAAACAGCTAATCATCCTGTTAGAGAAATTATAGCTGGAATAAAGCAATTTCCATGAGATGTTGAAGCAAAAGGTATGCATATATGACTAATGTGACTTGTAGGTGTCACATACTGTGAATACAGAATTAACCCATTCAGGATAGGGATACTCTGCTTATTAAAGCTGGCTTTGCAAAAAAAAAAAAATCAAGGAACTACCTATTCAGAACTCCACTATGTAAAACATGGATTAAAAAGAAATTGCAAGAGTAGGTGCCTATTTATAAGATAGAAGCTTCACCCCATGCAGACGATGTGTGCACATATGTACTCAGTACAAATCGGTCACTGCTGCTGTTCATGTGTAACTGTTCATCTGAGTGGCTACATGTGATTTGGGACTTTGACCGGTCCTGTACGCAGACCCTTTGCATCCAGGGACAGCATTTTTAACTGCAGCAAATCGTCCATTTTGTAGCACAGAGTGCTGCTGCATCCAGAGGCGGCATTTAGTTGACCCTGAATACAAGAGCCTATACACCAGAGGTGCTCAACCTTTTGAAGAGCGAGGGCCACTTAAGTGATTTGGTAACCAGTCACGGGCCACAATGAAATTAAATGGTTCAGAATTTCACATTTTTTATTTTGAAGAGCATAATGAACATTTTTCTCCTGCAGCTGCTGAATAACAGAAGGGAGAGAAGGAGAAGCCAGATTTCAGCTGTTGCAGGGGGAAAATGGAGAGGACCGGTTCCTGTATATGCTTCCCCCACTGCTCCTCCTGTCCAAGTGTAAAATAGAATGTGACAGGGAGGCCACACGGGCCCCTTGGAGCATGAGTTGGGGTCACCATTCTGACCCTTGATGCTATCCACCAGTGGTTGGGGTGTGTGATTAAAAACACATCTCAACTATGGGATTTTGCCACCCCCAAATTGCAAATGTAAATAAGCCCTTAGTGTCCTGAGCGCACTATAAGGTTGCTTTCACACTGATGTGCTACAGTGCACCTAAGTCTAGGGCTTAGTGCAGCTAACCCTCAGGAAAGCCACAGGCGCACTGCGCTGCACCTGCGAATCAGTGTGAAAGCAGCCTAACAGTTAACCCTTTTATAGGTGCTAATATGCCCATTGAAAAAGCACAGCGTATGTTGTTTAATACACTGATCTTCCTTTCATCTTCCAGCTTCTGCTGGCATCGATCTCCAGGCTGTTAGAAAGGTTCTAGGCAAAGTACACTTGGTATTGCTCTACCTGGAAGAAGAGATGGCGCTACAGAGGAAACATCAGCGTATGCAGCTGCTGCTCTTTCCACAGCTGCCTGCTTCCTCTGCTGCCAGTGTCAGCTTGATGCACTCTGATGCTCTGTGATGATGGGTCAGCAAGCCCAGATTGTGATCAACTTCCCTGGTTTGAGGTCAAGGGCTACATCAGAGGGCTCTGTGGGCCACAGGTTGAGAATTCCTGCTATACACCCTTCCAAAAATTAAGGGCAAAAGCTACTTACATTTATACTCTAACTTCCAGCCACTTTGCCTAGAAGAGATTGACATCACTCTGTCTCATTACAGGATCCTGGGAAAGCCAAGGATCGTAATTATGGGAAAGCGAACCTGTACCATGCTGCAGCTGATTCTCCCAGGATTTGGGGGTCTCATCAGAATGCAACCACCCTCACCTAGGCAGTGTCCAGAAGCTGGGGTCTAAAGTAGCTATTTTTCCTCTGTGTGACTTTTTTCTGTATGTTTTGACTAGTGTTTTCACTTTGGTTCCTTGGCTTTGAGCACTACAAACAGGCAACATGGCAAATCTGAGCATAACAGATGATAATTGGATGGAGCAGGGACACCACTGAGAGACAGCAAGCTGTGGGTTTAACAATGTTGTGCAAGCAAGGTTCTTAGTGAGGTAGCTAGCTATCTAAGGTCATTCTAGGGTAGTCTCTCTCTCAAACGTTTTACCCCAAAGCGATACAGCTTCCATAGTTTCCAGTTTATGGAGATACTACAAAAAATTATAGCTACAGCTTACAGTATGTTATTAATATCAGTAATCTGTTTATGTATATATGGTGTGTATAAGTATTGGAACACCCCTCCAAATCATTAGATTCAGGTGTTCCAATCACCTCCATGGCCACAGGTGTATACAATCAAGCACCTAGGCATGCAGACTGCTTCTACAAACATTTGTGAAAGAATGGGTCGCTCTCAGGAGCTCAGTGAATTGGCATGGCACTGTGATAGGTTGCCACCTGTGCAATAAGTCCATCCATGAAATTTCCTTGCTACTAAATATTGCACTGTCAACTGTTAGTGGTATTATAACAAAGTGGAAGCAACTGGGAACAACAGCAATTCAGCCACGAAGTGGTAGGCCATGTAAAATGACAGAGCAGGGTTAGCGCATGCTGAAGCTCACAGTGAGCAAAAGTCGCCAACTGTCTGCAGAGTCAATAGCTAAAGTCCTCCACACTTCATGTGGCCTTCAGATTAGCACAACAACAGTGCGTAGAGAGCTTCATGGGATTGGTTTCCATGGCCGATAATCTGCATCCAAGCCTTACATCACCAAGTGCAATGCAAAACGTTGCATGCATTGGTGTAAAGCATGCCGCGACTGGACTCTAGAGCAGTGGAGACGTGTTCTCTGGAATAACGAATCACGCTTCTCTGTCTGGCAATCCGATGGACATGTCTGGGTTTGGCAGTTGCCGAGAGAACGGGACTTGCCTGACTGCATTGTGCCAAGTGAAAGTTTGGTGGAGGGGGGATTATGGTGTGGGGGTGTTTTTCAGGTGATGGGTTTGGCCCCTTAGTTCCAGTGAAGGGAACTCTTAAGGCATCAGCATACCAAGACATTTTAGGCAATTTAATGCTCCCACCTTTGTGGGAACAGTTTGGGGATGGCCCCTTCCTGTTCCAACATGACTGCACACCAGTGTACAAAGCAAGGTCCATAAAGACATGGATGAGCGAGGTTGGGATGAAGGAAGTTGACTGGCCTGCCCTCAACCAAATAGAACACCTTTAGGATGAATTAGAGCACTGCGAGCCAGGCCTTTTCTGTTCCAAAAATATTTTTATTAGAAGAAAAGCAGGGTATACAGTGTACATACAAAAACGTATCACAGTCCGAACATAGGCACCCCATGTAACATCCCGTTACGCAGATGGGCCATGAGTTTAAACCAGAATACACATCGGTATGAAATATATCCTTATTGCACATGTATATAGCAAACCAGTATATACCAAGAGTACAATAGGTAAATTGAAGTGGGTATATTGCTTAACGACCTATGCATTTGTGGGTTCTTATGTTAAGGGGGTGCGATGTGTTGGGTGTTGCTAGCACAGGAAAATGTATATGATATGATATGTGGGTCTATTGCAGGGACGTGAGAGCCATGTAAAATCAGTCATGCCTATATGGGAGATTAAATGCAATATTCGTATAGAATATATGAAGAATGAAGGTGTGTAAAAAGGGGTAAGAGAAAGAAAAGTCTAAAAAGAGAATAAATAGAGAAGAAGATGAAGATATAGAGTGAGGTAAAGGGGGAATGAGGAGTAAAAGAGACAAAAAAAAAAAAAAAAAAGCCAGGCCTTTTCATCATGCCTGACCTCACAAATGCGCTTCTGGAAGAATGATTAAACATTCCCATAGACACACTCCTAAACCTTGTGGACAGCCTTCCTAGAAGAGGTGAAGCTGTTATAGGTGCAGTTGGGCCAACTCAATATTGAACCCTACGGACTAAGACTGGGATGCCATTAAAGTTCATGTGTGTGTAAAGGCAGGTGTCTCAATACTTTTGGCAATATATATATATATATATATATATATATATATAATAGCAATAAATAAAATAATAAAGTCTATGGCAAACAAAAATATTTTAACATCACTGTGGATCTTTTTTAACATGAAAATGTTGTGAATGAAAAAACTATTTTTAGGTACAATTACAAAATTATTAACAGTAGAAATAACAAAAGTACAATGAAAAATAATAATGGCCAAGGAAGAAACACATAGAGACTCTTTTACAGTGGTCAGGGATTCCAAGAAGTGCCTCCTACATTGGTGTCTAATGAAAATATTGCCACCCTTACAAACAGGTAAAGAGATGCCACTAACTCTGCCAAGTGATGATGTCCCAAACACTATGCAGGCATTGGTCTGGTCTAATGTAAGAGTGAGTGCTCTGTAATATAGCTAAGCCAGCAGTGAAAGCCTAATTATTTGCCTCCATGACAGCCCTCCCTTTTTGGGAACGTGTAATAGTTGTGTTTATTTATAATGTTAAGGACTAAAAAAAATATACGATTTTCTTTAAGTCAGGGAACAGGTGGAGCTCAAAGCTCCTTTACATGTTTTCTAGGCTATCCTCAACTGGTTTACTTAAAAGAAATCCTGTTGAATTTAGCCGCCTCTATTGTGAGTTCAGTAGATCAATTCCTACCTGTATTTACAGCCACAATTGAACAAATCAGCCTAGTAACCCACCACACACACTTGAGTTTATAGGCAAACTTTTTTCTCTTTAAAGAAAAAAAATAATGTGTTACGATTTCTATGCACCCTGTACATAATATTTATTGATAAAATAAAGATCTAAACAGCTAAAGCTAAAAAATTTAATATAATTTTCTAAAACAATTGGTTTTCCTTTAAGTGATGTTCTCTTGAGAATTGTATCGATTACATTCCTGAATTAACAAAACACTGACTTTATTGTATCTTTCATCTATCGGAATTATTTTCTTCTGCACTATTTTACTGTAGCTTCAGATGTCACTGTTACATCTAGTCTATAAAAATTAGTTGACAAAAAGGTCTTTGTGGGTGTACAGGACTTTAAGGTCTCGCTCCCCACCATACGTGCATAAAAACTGATGAAAACTGACAGGCAGAGACATCAGTTTCCATCAGTTTTCATGCACGCTTCAATGAGTTTTATACACGTTGCAGATTCCTGCGCAGAAAAAACCTGCATGCAATGCTAGTGTTGTGGTGTGAACAGGGCACATAGAGAGCAAGTGATTTCATTGCGCCCTTTCAGAAAGTGTGCAGAAAAACGTCTCTGCATCATGGTGTGAACGAGCCCCAAAAGGTACCCCACTCAACAGACAACCATAAAATGAATACATCTTTATTAGTGTCAAATTAAAAAGATCAATAAAAAGACACATAGGCTGGGCATCTAGGTATTTACAATGCAAACTGGCCATATAAAATGACATTTTGATCATTGATTTATCTATATGGCAGCATATCAATGTTTATCAGAGTATAAGAGTCCTTTGACAAATGTTCAGAATATGCTTCTTTTTATCGATCTTTTCCATTTGAGAATAATGAAGTTATATGGGTAGAAACAGTGGCTAAATGGTTAGCACTTCCGCCTGGCAGTACTAGGGTCGTTGGTTCAAATCCCAGCAACGGCACCTCCTGCCTGGAGTTTGCATGTTCTCCCTTTGCCTGCGTGGGTTTCCTCTGGGTACTCTGGTTTCCTCCCACACTCCAAAGACATGCTGGTAGGTTAATTGAATCCTGTCTAAATTGTCCCTGGTATGTGTATGTATGAATGTGAGTTAGGGACCTTAGATTGTACACCCCTTGAGGGTTAGGGACTGATGTGAATGTACAATATATATGTAAAGCGCTGCGTAAATTGACGGCACTATATAAGTACCTGAAATAAATATATTAATGTTATGGTTGTCTGTTAAGTGTGGTTTCTTGTGCACCCATAAAGACCTTTTTGTCTATACAATATTGGGATGTTGGCACCATTCATTGTCCCACATCACAATATAAAATATTTTTTTTACAAAAAAACAGTTGACGGATGGCTATATGACATCAGACAATATGGAAAAGATCTTGTTAAAGGACTCTCCCTGGATTATAGGGAACGTCACAGTATATGATTTTTTGAATGTGAAAGTGCCATAACATTCTTTTTCACACTAGCTATGGAGATCAGCCTAAATTGTCAATCTAGCTACTCCTAGAAAATACCAAAGATGAGAATGATCCAATATTCTGGTCTTTTGGAGAAAAAACCAAATAAGTTGTCCAAATAAAGCATTTTTCTGTCTAGGTCTATTTATTCCTGAATAACAACTCCTAATTAGAGCTGAGATTTACTAAATGGCATTGACTGAAAACAAATAGTATGGTAGGCATGGTATAGTCCTCAATTTAAAGCTGTACCAATAAGGAAAAGGCCAAGAACTATAGTCAAATCATTTAGAAAAATACTATACAGTTCATCACTTACCTCCAACTCCTCATAGTGGGACGATACAAGTACTAGTTCAGGGTCTGCACCAGGTATATGCTTCATTTGAAGGTTGTGGCTGGGGAAAGACACCATGTCAAGGCAAAATATCATTATGTTCTATTACCAGCTGTTCGTAAAGAGTTCGAGGATGTAAATATGACTTAAGAAAGTAAAGCCTTCATGGCTGTCATCCTCATTCTAGATGCACTGTTAATGTGCTGCTGATTTGGATTAATCATGCAGGCAGTGACATCCAAATAATCTGTGCTCCAGTCCAGCATGCTCGTTCAACATCACTGACTTACTATGCAGTTGAGCCCACAACCTGAACCTTTTGAACATTTGTTAACAATGACAGCACCCACATTTCTATGCTCAAAGGTTTACATTTAGACCACTATGTGTATTTGTACAAGTGCTTAGGTCATGGGAAAATCCCCAGCCCCCCCCCCCCCCCCCCCCCCCCATAGACACATTCAGTATTAAGTTACGTAGCCTATCTGCACAATGGAGTCAATCACACCCAATCTCCTAAGAGTTCATGCTGCAGTCAATTCAGCTCCCTATACAGGGGGTTATTTACTAAAACTGGAGAGTGCAAAATCTGGCGCAGCTCTGCATGGAAACCAATCAGCTTCCAGGTTTTATTGTCAAAGCTTATGTAGTGCTACCCTCTTACTTTAACTGACAATTGCGCAGTCATGCAATTTTTTTCTCACAAATGGAGCTTTCTTGCGTTGGTATTTGATAGCCTCTGCATTTTTATTTTTTGCACCAAAAACTGAAAAAGACTGACAATTTTGAGAAAAAACAATATTTTTTTACTTTTTCTATTAAACATGTCCAGTAAAAAAAATTATAAAATCAAATTTCATCATAAATTTAGGCCAAAATGTATTCTGTTACATGTCTTTGCTAAGCGAAATGCCAATATGTGTAAATTAATTGGTTTTACGTGAAAGTTATAGTGTCTACAAATGGCAGTATATATTATATATATATATTTTTTTTTTTTTCTAATACTAGTAATGGTGGTGATCAGCGATTTATAGCTGGACTGCGGCAGGCATTCTGACACTGGGTGGGAACTGACTAACTGCTACTGACATCCCCAGTGACACTAATACAGTGATAAGTGCTAATAAAAAGGGGAAGGGATTACCATGTGGGGCAATCAAAGGGTTAATTGTGGGCTGTGTATGTTTTACTGTGTGCTGTATTTTACAGTGTAAGTACATTGCTTTGTATTGCTCTGCTATGCAGAGCAATACAAAGCAGTGTGCAGAAGCAGACAGGGGAGAGATCTGTATTGTTTACATACAGACCTCTCTCCTGTAAGTGATAATCGGCGATTGCTGGGTGCCGGCGGAGAATCACCGCCCGGGATGCAGTGATCGACAGCTGAAGCCGCCAATGAAGGAAATTTCTACCCGGAAATGCAAAAACACGTATATATACATGATTTTGCGCAGCTTTGCTGCCCTGTAGCAGTATTTCTGCTATAGGGAGGCAGGCAAGCGGTTAAAGTAAACCCTTTCTAATACCAATATGACTTTCATTGCTGATTTTCTGAAAATACGTCACTGACCATCTTCTCTTTTGGTAGACAACATCTCTATCTTGGGCATTCAGGAACTCCAACAGAGATAGAAGAAGCCAGCTAGTAACTGATGAAACCAATTTACACCCACAATTGAAACATCTGTTCTGAGTGCGCTGATCCTATAATGCTCCACCGACATCAGTACAATGACATATGTACTAATTACAGCTATCATGCTACAATTTTCAGTGCGTGCTAGTATCTGCATTCACTATAGATGTGAAGGAGCTCAATGAAAAAAATGTGTATGGTGTAGTTGGCAAGAAAGAGAAATCCTTACAATGGAAGAATAAAAGCAATGTTTTTAGTGCTCACTATAATCTTACACGGAGCAGCTGATTTACAGTATAATTCTAGACACACGTGATTTTCATTTTTCTTAAGTCTTTGTAAACCAGAAACATTTAAGAAGCCATCAAATTCAAGTTCCTATACTCTTCTGAAGGATACTAAAGAGGGATGTCCTCCTGGACGAAGGTCTTCACCTGGAAAGAGAGGAAACTGTTACATGCTTGCTAAATTCGTAGAGAAATATCAATAATTAAACTATTCAACCATTATGAATGCTATATTTATTTATCTATTTCAGGTACTTCTATAGCGCCGTCAATTTACGCAGCGCTTTACATATATATTGTACATTCACATCAGTCCCTAACCCTCAAGGGGTGTACAATCTAAGGTCCCTAACTCACATTCATACATACACATACTAGGGCCAATTTAGACAGGATCCAATTAACCTACCAGCATGTCTTTGGAATGTGGGAGAAAACCAGAGTACCCAGAGGAAACACACGCAGGCACAGGGAGAACATGCAAACTCCAGGCAGGAGGCGCCATTGTCGGGAATCTAACCCATGACCCATTTACTGCAAGGCAGACGTGCTAACCACTAAGCCACTGTGCCGCCCATCAGTATAATCCATACTGTATATACTGGCTAATATATAAGAGGGCAGGCATTGAACTCAGGAAAGTTAAACATTTTTCCAATTTGGTGGTATAAAGCTGTGATCACACGTCAAACCTGAACAGCGTCTGCAGACACGACCAAATTAAGTTACTGTCCTGAATGTGTCTTTTGGTCGTAGACAGAATTTTGCAACTGATGTATGATCCAGTTTTGGCCTGCAAAAAGCGTACACTGTATGTATTGTATATGTGTATAAACAGGAGTCTTCTGGTTACAATTTAATCCAGCAATAAGAACATCAAGATGCTCAGATTGCACATTACTCTTAGATTGTAAACTCCAAGGAGCAGGGCCCTCCTATCCCTCTTGTATTGAACTGTATTGTGGCTGTATTGTCTCCTTTTATATTGTAAAGTGCTGAGCAAACTGTTGGCACTATATAAATCCTGTATATAATAATAATAATAATTACCATACAAAATGGGAATGCTATAGTAACTACAGTATAATAGAAAAACAAATCTTTTAAAGCTGTGTGAATTCCAGATCTGTCATTCATGTATAGCTGGGTAAGTCACTGCCCTGAAACAACATATTAGATATGCTGCTAGGCTGCATGCTTTTTCCAGGTCAGCGACACACTAAGTAGAGCAGTAGGAATGCCAACCAGGAGTATGCATAGAGGACCAAATCTTTTTTTGGCCAGAGGGTGTACTTTTGTGTTTTAGATCACATGAGCTTTGATTAGCATTATTCATAATAATTAAATTCTTAAATACCACATTATATAATGCTGGGCTAACCTAAAGTTGAGAACTGCATTGTTCTGTGTATCCATGCATAAGGATGATGGAACTGGTTTGTGTGACAAATGATAGTTCAAATAAATGGACATTTGCTAGTCCTGCAACTCTGAGCTATATGCACACTTTTTGCAGTCTGTATTACTGGACCATAGAGCTTACCTTTTATCACTATACAACACTATTTTGCACCAGTGTCAGAAATACTGTGCTGTGACGCTGCCAAGAAGGTCATATTCAGCCTATCATCCATTAACAGGATTTTTCTAGATTACATAGCAACACGGGCAAAAATGTAAAAAATTATAATAGTTTTCTTGTAAAATCATAGTAATAAATACTGCCATAGCAGGCACTTGTGTCAATACGGGTTGAAAAGAGAAGCACCTGGCAGCAATCTCTGACCAAGTTCAAATGAGCTAATGAAACAGAAATGCAAAAAAGGCAGTGAGATGCATATATATACAGTGGGGATCGAAAGTTTGGGCACCCCAGCTAAAAATTTGTATTAATGTGCATAAAGAAGCCAAGGAAAGATGGAAAAATCTCCAAAAGGCATCAAATTACAGATTAGACATTCTTATAATATATATCAACAAAAGTTAGATTTTATTTCCATCATTTACACTTTCAAAATAACAGAAAACAAAAAAAATGGCGTCTGCAAAAGTTTGGGCACCCTGCAGAATTTATAGCATGCACTGCCCCCTTTGCAAAGCTGAGACCTGCCAGTGTCATGGATTGTTCTCAATCATCGTCTGGGAAGACCAGGTGATGTCAAGCTCAAAGGTTTTAAATGCCCAGACTTATCTGACCTTGCCCCAACAATCAGCACCATGGGTTCTTCTAAGCAGTTGTCTAGAAAACTGAAACTGAAAATAATTGACGCTCACAAAGCTGGAGAAGGCTATAAGAAGATAGCAAAGCGTTTTCAGATGTCAATATCCTCTGTTCGGAATGTAATTAAGAAATGGCAGTCATCAGGAACAGTGGAAGTTAAAGCAACATCTGGAAGACCAAGAAAATATCAGACAGAACAGCTCGCAGGATTGTGAGAAAAACAATTCAAAACCCACGTTTGACTGCACCATCCCTCCAGAAAGATCTGGCAGACACTGGAGTTGTGGTACACTATTCCACTATAAAGAGATGCTTGTACAAATATGGTCTTCATGGAAGAGTCATCAGAAGAAAACCTCTTCTACGTCCTCACCACAAAAATCATCGTTTGAACTTTGCAAATGAACATATAGACAAGCCTGATGCATTTTGAAAACAAGTTCTGTGGACCGATGAGGTTAAAATTGAACTTTTTGGCCGGAATGAGCAAAGGTACGTTTGGAGAAGAAGGGGCACAGAATTTAATGAAAAGAACCTCTGTCCAACTGTTAAGCATGGGTTGGATCAATCATGCTTTGGGGTTGTGTTGCAGCCAGTGGCACAGGGAACATCTCACGAGTAGAAGGAAAAATGGATTCAATAAAATTTCAACAAATTTTGGATGGTAACTTGATGCCATCTGTGAAAAAGCTGAAGTTAAAGAGAGGATGGCTTCTACAAATGGATAATGATCCTAAACACACCTCGAAATCCACGGGGGATTACATCAAGAGGCGTAAACTGAAGGTAAACTGAAGGTTTTTCTCCTGACCTCAACATAATTGAAAATCTATGGATAGACCTTAAAAGAGCAGTGCGTGACAGACAGCCCAGAAATCTCAAAGAACTGGAAGACTTTTGTAAGGAAGAATGGGCAAAGATACCTCAAACAAGAATTGAAAGACTCTGGCTGGCTACAAAAAGTGTTTACAAGCTGTGATACTTGCCAAAGGGGGCAGTACAAGATATTAAACTCTGCAGGGTGCCCAAACTTTTGCAGACGCCATTTTTTTGTTTTCTGTTATTTTGAAAGTGTAAATGATGGAAATAAAATCTAACTTTTGTTGACATATTATAAGAATGTCTAATCTGTAATTTGATGCTTTTTGGAGATTTTTCCATCTTTCCTTGGCTTCTTTATGCACATTAATACAAATTTTTAGCTGGGGTGCCCAAACTTTCGATCCCCAATGTATATATATATATATATATATATATATATATATATATATAGTGTGTTTGTGTGTGTAAAAAGCCTAGCAGTATCTTCAGGCCATATGCACACTGGTGCTTGGGCTGGTATGTACATCCTACCATTACAACAATAAAGCAAGAACAAGCCACCAAAAAATGACACTAATTGTTAGTGTCATAAGTACATCTCCGACTCACTTATACAAGTGTGGATACATAAACCCAGGGGACAGCATACTAAACAATATGATAGTGTGACAAGAACACACCTATCTAAAAAAGAAGGTTTCTAGATAATCCACGCGGAGTAATATGAATTCAAATGAATTTAACAATACTTTATTTGATCACATAGATCATAGGGAGGTTAAACATGAGCACGGTGTACATATGAAAAAAATAAAATCATGTTTAAAAAGCACTTAGCGTCTTCAATTTAGGGTCATCTTAGTCAACAGAGCACCATATAAGGCAGAGTAGTGTGATGATGAAATAATTATCCTGGATTTCCGTAGGTTTCCTGCTTAATATTTGTGTGAACCGTGTATTCAGTGGGTGTGTTCCCGGTATATGTCAGGAACCTCCTGTAATGTACAAGCTGGAACACAAAAATACATGGTATGTATCTAGCAATATGGAAACCAAAATCACATCCAAAAATTTACCAGGCCTCCCTCCACAATAGTCAATGGATACTGCTGTTACCTTCTCAAAGGTGAGACTATCAACCCGCCTCTCAAGTGTAGGGACTTCCTGGATAGCCACCCCAAATGAACAAAGTCCCACAGTACCAAATGATTCTGAGGATATACATAGAAAAAAATATTAAATGTGTAGATCATGGGCATCAGGTAACCCCGAAAACAAAACACACATAAAAATGTGGATATATTACCATCAATGAGGATCAAGAAGACTCCTGTCGACTTGAACTAAGATCAGGTCCCTTAATGCTTTTCCAAAGATGCATATGGGGGTGGGGGACCAGGTATACACGAATGCGTGGATTTCAAACACATATAATGTGTATATAGCATATAGGCCGTAGATACCTGAATTTAATATACCCAATAAAGGGTTTCCAAAAATTGCTCAAATTTGAGAAGGTTATTTTGCGGTTTTTATTAGGATGTGGCTATGTCACAGCAAAAAAAATACTAAATACCTGAATAGGATAGCGTATATATATATATATGTAGATTTCTCCTCCTGAGAGGATTTTCCAAAGAATTCCCCGAGTATACAGGTAAATTAGGCCCAAGAGCATGCCCTATTAACGCCATGTGAGCTCTATAAATCCTCAACAGCCGTAAGCTTTTAAATAAACTTGCCACCGGTGGAAGATATATTTTCCCTGAGGGATTGTGTTTGCGAACCGCTGTGGATAATAGCCCACTGGTAGTTCTCAAAAAGTCTTGGGCCTACCTAACAGGGAGCTGTGACCCACGCCGTTCCTTCCCGCCTCGTGGGCGCCGCACCCTGTGAAACGCCGAGCGTAGTGACGTCAATACGTTGACGCGTTTCGGTCCGCCAATCACCGCAGACTTCGTCAGAACTGGGAGGGGACTTCAATCCTTTGCCTTATATGGTGCACTAATTGCATACCAAAAAGTCTCCACCTCGCCATCTTGTGTTGAAAGAATATCACTACATTGGGAATATCCAAAAAGTGAATTAAAAACATATATCTTGAAT